CAACCAGGGAACCCAGGCAGGAGACTGGCAGGAGAGAGAGCAGTGAAGTCGGGGTGCTTCTCCCCCACCTCACTGCTTCCCTGCAGTGTGTCCAGCTGTCACTCAGTCAGCAAGCTGCCCTCTCTTTTCTTTCCAGGTTCCAGTAATTTTTCTATTTTTTTCCCTCCAGTTCTAGGGGTGGTGATGGCATCTAGGGGTTCTGAATGATCCCCTGGGCTGTCCCTAAATCCTAACTACTCTTTTCAGAGAGCTCTGTAAGTAAACTCCTCTCCAGCCACCACTGTGAGCTGCTTGCCAGGGCCTTGACCAGCGTCCCCTTCTGAGCCCTGTGACCTTGTCCTCTGTCCCTCTCTAGGTATCAGCCACACCAGCCACCTCACTGGGCTTTGACCTGTCCATGTCCCTCGAAGTCTGCAGACTTTGTTCTCTTCCCTGCAGTGCTCTTTTCCAGGTACCCACGCAGCCAGCATCCTGCTTTCCAAGTCCTTCCTCAGTGTGAGTGTGAGACCTCCCCTGACCACCCTGCTGGGAATCACAAGGTCCGCTGGCCCAGCACTTCCAGGCCCCTTGTCCTTGTTGTCTTCTCCTGGGATGCTCTGCAATTCCTGCAAGTCACCTGGATTATCTGGTTCCCCATCCTTTGGTTTCTGGGGGCAGGAATGGCTGATGGTTCATGGCTGTGTCCTAGTGCCAAGTGCTAGCATGTATTAAGCAAGCATTCATTCATTCACGCATTCAACTCAATGGATATTCATTGCTCATCTGCAAGGTGTCAGGCCCTGTCCAAGTACAAAACCATCTTCATGCTCATTCCTTGCCCTCTGATTTCTGACCCTTAAATGGCCTCTGGGTCACTGCTACCCAAATCCTCTAATCTCTGAGTGCCCTGCAAGGCCATCTAAGATGCTAGCCTTTCCAACCCAGAGCCAGGCTGTTTGCCATGGCTGGAGTCACAGTGAGTGAACCCTTTCCGTGTGATGAGACCACAGCCAGCCTGGCCTAACCGCAGCCTGCTGCCCTCTGAGGCAGCATTTTCTGAGACCGCTCTCTAGGTTTGCTCATCTTTCAACAATGACAGGTTTGCACACGCAGCGTTCTGCAAAGGCCCCCTTGGCAACTAAGGGCTGGTTGGTTTCCTTCCAGCTTTCTAATAAATCAGCTTCTGAACCCAACTCTTTCCAGTCGGTTGAGCTTAGCAACATCTCCTCTTCAAAACTCAGGTAATCGGGATGTAACAGGACTGTGCTGCCAGAGGTGTCAGGAAGTTCTTTCCAAGAATCTCTCAAGCATAGTGGTCATAGAGTTAACTAGTGTCTCTTGAAACTTCTTCTGGGGATTCTGAAGACGTAGCTAGCAGTAAGCCAAAAAGAACCCCTGCCCTCCAAAAAAAATCCATGCATGCAAAATAAGCTTTTAACAGCCTATTGCACCTTCTGTTCTGTAAAAGTGAGGGGACTGTTCTATAAAAGTGAGGTGGAGATTGGTGTTTTAGTGGCTGAGACCCTAAGGGCAAATCTCCTCCCAAAGAGGACTGTTAGAGTCTGGAGATTTTTCCTGTTTCCAGTTTCACTGAAGAGAGTGAGAAAATCAGTGGCCCAGAACAGTGGCACAGGGTGTCCAGTAGGAGGGTACCGGTGTTTCTGGTGCTCTCCAAGGGCACGAGAGGAAGTAGGAGACATGACTTCTTAGTCCTTCTCTGGTTCTAAGAGGCAGAAGGAAGAACAGTGCTGAGTATTCTGGGGCAAGGAGGATTCACTGGGTTTCCTGCTAAAATACTTTGCTTTATATAAGCAGCATGCGGAGTTCTGGTCGCTTTGGGCAGAGGAAGAAGATTGAAAGTAGAAGTGAATCTGGAGAGAGCAAAGAGGAAAATCATCTCTCACAGAGGTACCAGTGAAGGATTCTTTCTCCCTCATCTAAAACCAGGCACATGTAGTGAGCTGCTGCCCACCGCCAACTCCCTGCCCTGGTGAAGGAAGCATCCTGAGATCACGGGGGATCCCTGGCGTGCCCGTGTCAATGTTGGGTGCAGTGTGATCATCTCCACCTTGCAACAGGTCTCTCCAATACCCTGCAACTTCAAAGAACACAAATGATGCAGAAGGACCCCTGAGAAGCTAAGGTTAACATCGCTCAGGGAGGCTGCAGGCTACAGGTAAGGCCGCAGTGTTATCAGAGGTTTCCCCAGCCAGGTGACTGCCGCCCCAGTGTGAGTGGCTTCTCCCCTTCATTACACCTCCACCCCTTCACGGTACCACAGTAGCTTGGGAGCCCTGAGGCTGGTCCTCTGTACAGGGGGGCAATGCTCTGGGGCTGCACGCTGCACCTCTGAGGCCCGTTGCCCATGAAGCTGGTCTCCCTGGCACTCTTGGGGAGGGTGTGAATGGATGCGTCAGGGCAGTTGTCCAATATGCCAGAGCCTGCTGTCCCCTGGAATGGGCCAGAAGTCATAGAGTGCTCCTTCTCTGCTGCCTCTAGGCTCACCCTTGTCCTTTGGTGTCCTGTATCTCCAGGGAACGCCTCCCACTCTGCCAGTGCATTTCTGGTCCTCAGTCACGCAGCACTAGGCCAAAGGAGACCTCATGAAACACGAGCGTATGCTGTTTTCCTCTCCAGACCAGAGGCAAAACTTCTGTCCTGCAGCCCGAAAGGTCCATCATGGCCGTCGTTCATGATGCTGGCTCAGGGTACCTAAACCTGGCACACAGAGGGTCTCTTTTTAGGCCTCGGTTCCTGCATTATGGGTTAGAAGTGCTTGCACGGTGTGGGAGACAGGGAGGGAAGCCGGAGCCCAGGGCACCGGACTGTTTCTCACCTTGCTCTGGACCTCTTGCCACCTTGGCCCCTTGTTTTACCCTTGAACCTTCTAGCTAAGGACCTCTGGCCTGTGCCCTGGACATCTCTCCTTGACTCCTGTACTTGGCACTGTCTTTCTGGCCTTGAGCTTGGCTTCCCCTTGAAAATTTTCTAGCTCACCCCTCACACACTCTGTACATGCTATTGTTAGCAAATGCCTCTCCCAGCTCAACCTGGTCCTGGCACCCTTCATTACTGGAAATTTCTATCTTTCTTTTCTTTTTGTCTTTTTCCTGTTTATGGGTACCGGGGATCGAACTCACGACTGCCTGCTTGCAAGGCAGGTGCTTATGCCGCTGAGCTAAATCCCCAGCCCCGAGATTTCTATCTTTCATCTGCTGTATGTGTACCCTCCCAAGGAAGCCTCATGGCCCTTTGGCCTCCTTTCCACCTGAGGGCTTTTGTCAGACACCAGGAGTGTGCTTGCCCCATGCACAAGCAGTGCCAGAAGCAGCCCTTGGGGCGATGAGCAGAGTGAGTAGACAGACACTTAGTTTTCTGGTCCCTCAGTTGAGCCAACTCTGCTTCCCAGAGTTTTCCTGCAGGACTACGTTCCAGGTGTCCGTGGTGGCCACTTGTTTGTATAATGCTCCCTCCACTGACACCCTTCTTCCCTGACTCTCTTCCCCATTCCTTTGAAGATATTTCTGGAATACTTCCCAAATAGACTACTCATCTAAACTCTTCTCTCTCAGGGCCTGGTCCTGCAACAACCCAAACTAAGATAGGGCTGCATCTTCTCAGTGGTGTAGGCAAGAACAGAGAGTCCATGGGATCAGACATTAGTGAGAAGCCAAGTCAAGGGGAAACAGAGGACCAGAGAATTTAAATTACTTGCGTCAGTTGGGGAATGAAAGTCACAAGGCACCTGAGAAATATGGAGAACAGCTCTGTGTCTAACATCCAAGGCCTTTTCCTTGTGTTGTAAGATTTCTGTTTTTTAAAAAATCTTAACAACATCAACCACAATAACTATACCGTAAACTTACTACATGTGAGACATTCTAATAATTGCCAAGTGCTGTAAATAAAAATCCAAAATGCCAGCTAAATTTGGGACACACACTAAAAGCTCATCTGTTATTTACAATGCACATAATTAATTTGAATTTTATCTGGCAATTGAACATAGAAGGAGTAACCGAATTATATGATGAATGTTTAAATTAAAACACTTATTATAATAAAGGACATATCGCCTTTCAAGATACTCCCTTTTTCCTCCAACATACTTACCCTATTGTTCTGACCACTTTCTGAAGCAGTTCTGGACGTCCTCTTTCATGAGTGTCTTTATGAGATATAAGAAAACACAGTGAGTTGCTGATGTCAAGCGCTATCCAAAGACAAAGCAGACTCGCGAAAACCTCACAGTCAGTCCTCCTCCACCTTCTCCACCAGATCTGACACTGTGTGACTTCTGCCTCTGTCCCCAAGTCAAAATGACCACGCAAGGTAAATATTTTGAATCAATTCAAGACACAGAAGCAAGCAGGGCAGTGCAAATACAGACCAAAAAGGTGACTTCCACAATAGCTTAAGAACCTAGCAAGAGCTGGATGCAATCTTAGGGCTTGGGAAGGCCAGGCAAGAGAATTACTGTGAGATCAAAGCTAGCCTGAGCCATACAGCGACACCCTGCTTCAACCATTCCCCTAAAGAAAAAGAAAATGGCAAGAAGGGTGGGATAAGTGTATCCAAAGCAAAGGGGAGTGTTTCGATGGAGATAAAAAGCAATGTGTGGGGCTGGGGATTTAGCTCAGCAGCGTAAGTGCCTGCCTTGCAAGCACATGGTCGTGAGTTTGATCCCCGGTACCGGGGTGGGGGTGGGGGAAAGCAGTGTGTGTTTTTTTACTGCAATAAATTTAAACATTTCCCATTTTTTAAATCAGATCTCATACAATAAGACAAATAAACATGTCATTTTTCAGACCATGACATACACAGAGCAACTGAGTGACCTCCTCAGGGTCACAGAGCAGCTAAGGAGAGGCTGGGCTGTGACCCAGGCAGTCTGACTCCAGAACTTGTCCTCCAGCTGCCTCTGCAGAGCCCTGACTGCTTCCCTGTCACTCAACAAGGAAGTGGGAGGTATCTCCAGGAGATGAGCTCTCTGCCACTTATTGTTCTGTGGTCAAGCCATTGGAGAGCACTGTGGATTGGTGTTTGCTTCCTGACTGGAAATCTTTATGGCAACTTACAGAGATTTAACCTCAAAACTTAGATCACAAAACAGCTTCTTGGTAGCTCGGTGAGGCAACGGAGGTGGGTTTGGAGTGCCGTCTGTAGAATTACTGTCGCGTGGGGACCAGAGCTCATCTTGGCAAGGATATGGGGTTTTCCCAGGCCATCGGTAAGTGACTACCTGTTCTGGTTTGCCTGGAAGTGCCAGGCTCTCTCATTGGTTCAGCACTGCATGTTTACTTCATTGCATTTTTATTAGTACGTTTGCTGCGCACTCACTGTGGGGAGTTGTCTCACGGACAGCACACGCCTTAGTTCTTTTTGCTGCTCTTCCCTTCCCTCTCCTCTTTCTCTCCCTCCTGTTCTCTTTCCCATTTAGCATTTCATTATTTTTTTCAAATTAAAAAAATTATTTAAAAATATACAAACCAATAGATTTCAAAAAAGATCCCTCCTGCCCATTCAAAACTCTTTACTTTTGTTTTACTGAGTTAACCCTTAATCACTTTACAAAGTACAATTGGTGGCATTTAGTATATTCACAGTGTCATGGCATTTTACCCTTAAGCATACTGACTGTTCCAGTGGAACACATTGTGTGGGTCTGGCACACCTCCACTTGGTATTTCTAACATCTACTCTGTCCTCATCTAGTTGTGTGTAATGCATGTGTCTTAGTCTATTTTCTATTGCTATAGCAGGATACTTAAGACTGGGTAATTTATAAAGACCAGGAGTTTATTTGGATCACAGTTCTGGAGGCTGGGAGGTCATGGAAGCATCTGGGGACCTTCTTGCTGTATCACAGTGGAGACATTGTATGGCCACACAGGGCAAGCATGCTAGGGAGTGCTCAGGTCTCTCTTCCTTTTCCTAGACAGCTTCTAATGCCCTCCTGGGTGCCTCCTCCTCATGACTTCATCTAATACCAGTTGCCTCCCATGGGCTTCACTTCCAAATATCATTAATGTATGGACTTGGGGATTGAGTTTCTAACACACAAAATGTAAAGGGACACATTCAAACCATAGCAGCGTGAAAACACTGTAATCTGTGGGTAAAGCCGGTTGTTTCCTAGCATTCTCTCTCTTCCTTGTTACACAGAATTAACCAACACCTCTTTTTCAAGGACAGCACGCAGTAAGGGTACTCACACATTGTGTGTGCTACAACACAAGTGACAGGGAATGGCACTGCTGCCGGTCTGTCTAGTGAAGGAGAAAGTATTTGCTTTGATGTTGCTGGCCCTGATGCCTGGTGTGCCAGACCCTGGTGCTGACGGCCTGTGCTTGCTGTTTATGTTGTGGCCTGCAAAATGCTTGAAGCCACCAGGCTCCTGGTTGATGGTGTCAGCGGGAAACATGAGAAACCGTAGGGAAGGTACATATAAACACGTGTGGGGAACAGAGGCTGAGCATTCTTCTCTGAGAGCACAGAAAGAGACGCCTGAATGTACTTGCTACAGTGTTGTTGTCACTTACAATATGGCGAAACTATACTTATTCGCTATAGTTTTTGGTAACTTTTTTTTTTTACATTTTCAGTGAACCCTTCCAGCCACAAGGAGCTCACAGACATTTGTATGCATATTTAATGAAAACTTAAAGTACATTTCAGCTTCTGAAGCTGAGCATGTGCCCAGAACAACAGGCTGATGTCTGCTATTTACCCTGGATGGGCTGGAATCACTGACCACATGAAACCCAGAAGATACCAGTCTGCTGAAGAAGCATCAACGTGTACTTAAAGAAGGTAGGGGGTGTTCCTAGGATGTGCTGCCCTAACAGGACGGTCTAACAACATGCAGGGTCAGCAAAGCCCGTTTATACACCAGGACTTTTTGTTCCCCTGAAATGATTACTTTTTAAATGAATCTTGCTCATTTTGGAGACAAAGTCATTGAATAGATATTTCTCCAAAGAAGGTATATGCATATACAAAAAGGATATGAAAAGTTGTTCGACTAATTATTAGTGTGCTATTAGATTTTTGTTACTGTGAGCAAATACCTGCAACAAACGTTTCAAAGGAGGAAGGATGTATTTGGGCTCATGGCTTCAGAGGTCTCAGTTCATGGTCAGCTGACTCCATCATGGTGGAAAGGCATGAAAGAGCAGGACTGCTCACCCCATGACGGCCTCGAAGCAAGGAGAGGGGAAAAGAGCCAGCGAGGAAGGGGCAGGGATAAGACACTGTTATGGATTAAAAACTGGTGATCAGCTAAGGCCAGCTGGATTACATCACCATGGTGCTGAGCGTAGATGCTCCATCTGAGGAAAGTTACCAGTATAAACAGAGACATGGAGAAGGAGGGGCACTGAGGTGCGTGGAGGCGTTTGAGGCTCTGTGGGTTCTACTACAAGTTGCTGTTTGAGCCGTTGGTTCTCCTGAAGAAGCTCTGGTTCTCACATCGAGCATTGCTTCCTGGCTCTGGAGGGGAAGACGTGTGCTGCTTGGTCTCCAGGATGAACTCCTCATGCTGGCTTCCCGACATGTACCTGACTGTGCTTGTCGGAGGAGGAGCTCGGGGCCTCTGTGTCGCTGAGGATGGCTGTGGTGCTTTTCAGGACAGCCCTGGTCTTTGTTGTGAGTGTGACTTCTTGGCTCCAGTGTAGAACCCTTAACCTACCAGCACAGCTCCTTCACCCCGCTGGCATAGACTTTCTGGCTTCCACCGATGCTCTTTGGTCCTCCCCAGTGCAGATCTGTAAAGAGACTGGCGTGAGTCCTTCTTGTGGGCTCTGGACCTCCAGTTGGACTCGTGGGAGGCACTGGCATGAGCTCTGGGTCTTCATCTGGACTCATGCAGAACTTTGCTGTGGGATTCAGGCCCTTGGCTAAATATTCTTTAGTGTTGTAGACCGATTTCCTATACTTTGTGTTAACTCTGGGTGACCATCATAAAACAAGATTATAAACTCCATGTCCTGATTCTAATTGTTATCCTCACAACCCCCGACTACAACAGTCCCCAGGTCATGTTCCCGTGACCCAGGCCCTTCCTTCAGCTAAACCCCACCTCCTAAACTTCTATTACTTTCCAAAAAATGCCCTCAAATAATGATCTTGTTAATGGATCGATCCACTGGTGAAACTGGAATCCTCGTGATGCAATTACCTTCTCAAAGCCCCAACTCATAAACACATGAGCCTTTCGGGGGGCATTTTAGATTTGAACTATACCAATTAGGGAAATACAAATGAAACTCACAGCGACCTACCACTTTGTACCCAGAAAGACGGCTATTAGGAAAAACCAGAAGCCAGCAAGACTCAAGAAGAAGTGGAGAAAAGGAAACTCTTGTGGATTGCTGGTAGAAATGTAAAATAGCCACAGCCAGTATGGAAAACGGCTTGCCAGTTCCTCAAAACTTTAAACATAGAACGACCATATGATCCAGCAATTCCACTTCTGGGTGTGTATCTAAAATAACTGACTTGAGCACTCAAACGGATATTGCGTACCCATGTTCACAGCATAGAAAAGCTGTGAAAGCAACATGAATGTGACGTGTAGCTACAGTGGCATATTATTCCCTTGAAGCAGCGAGGAAGTTTTGACACAGGCTACAATATGAGTGAACCCTGAAGACACTGTATAAGTGTGAAATAAGCCAGTCACAGAATCACAGTTCCTATGTGAGTCCACTTATATAAGCTACTTGCAGTAGGAGGAAAGATCGCTGGGTACCAAAGCCGGGGGTAAGAAGAGAAATACAGGGAGTTATTGTTCAATAGGTACAGAGCTCTAGTTGGGGATGATAAAGACCTCCTGGGGAGGGGACAAACATTCAGAGAGGGATAGCGGTGGTGGCTGCAGCAGTGCAGATATGCTAAATGCCACTGAACTGTACACTTGTGTGACACTGTGCCTCATGACTATAGGCAAACTTTTTTGAGGTGCTGGAGATGGAACCCACAGCCTCCTACACACCAAGGTAAGCAAGTGCAATTATTATATGGCATTTATTTATTTATTTATTTACTTATTTTTTTGTCTTTTTCGTTTTTATCGGTACCAGGGATTGAACTCACGACTGCCTGCTTGCAAGGCAGGCACTTATGCCGCTGAGCTAAATCCTCAGCCCCTATTATATGGCATTTAAAAAACAATAAAAGTAAACAGAAGAATTAAGGTGGTAAATTTATGTTATATGTATTTTTGCCGTAATAAAAAACTATTTTTGCTCATTTTTTTAATTCCAAGTTTTCTTGTTTGTGCTCAGGAAGAAGCGATAACTGTCACTGTGTGGGCTCCCCTGGCAGAACAACTTTGCAAACAGTTACACGACGCCAGTTTGATATTGATGCCATCTGATGTGTCAAGTGGAAGATCACTTAACTCTAATGAGGGTTTGCTTTTTTCAATCAGTTCCTGGAATCAAAATAAAGCCCTGGGAAGCGCATGCTACCACAGACGACACATCTAAACTGAATGTAAACACAATCATAAATTTAGTTAAATGTCTGGCATTAAAGATAACTCTGCTTTTGTGATCTCAACACAAGTATCTATTTTGGTGAAATACAATTTTGCAATAAAAATAGTGTTTTCCCTAAACTGAACTACCAGGGAGCAGTGGCCTGGCATCGGTTGTGATGCCATGTACAGCATTTTCTAATTCATTCCGAACAGCTGTGATATTCTCCCAAGTGAAACAGAAGCTGCAGTTGTTAAATGCGACAAATATTTTTATATACACTCAGAGTAACTGTGATAAATCTGAAGCAATATTTAATAAAAATCTTTGGCACAGTAGCACATGCTTGCTGTCTCTATTGCAAACCACTAATCAGATTTTAGAGATGTTTGTGAGTTTGTAGAATTATCAACTTGCTTTGGTTCCAGACCCCCTGTGGATACCGAAACCTACAGATGCTAGAGACTCTTGTGTGATACGATGAAGTGTCTGCATGTAGCCCACTTCGCATTACAGGTTACTTGTAATACCTCAAATAACAGCAGTGCTATATAAATAGTTGTTGTACTTTATTGTTACGGGAACCCTGACAAAGGATAACTGCATTTTCAACACACATATAACTCCCGCTACTCAAATCTTTTCAACTTGCAGTTGGAAATTGTTAAATGCAGAATCTGCTTTGTAAGCTTGAGTCATAGAATGGCTCCAGACTTTTCTTTACAAGTGTAGCAAGTATTGATCAAGTATTTGCAAGTATTTCATCAAAGTTCTCAATGAATGCACTACTGAGATAAACCTGAGCTTTGGAAACTTAGCGAATTGCAATGACTGGAAATAAAACATGCAAACTGGAATGTACAGAGACGGCTTGGAAGAAAACAAAGGAGGAACTGAACAAATTCAGAGGTGAGAGCTGCCGTGCGTGGTCTGCACCTGTGTTTTGGGAAATCTTAACTTGAGGGGAGAATACTTAGGGGAAGTTATTATTTTTATTTGTACAAATTAATATTGTTTGCTAGAACATGATAAAACCCAACAAGGTCCACAATGCAAGTGTGGCAAAACGTTTAAAAGAATCATAAAATGTTTTATTTGATGATTTAAAAAAATCTTTTGTGTGTGTGTGTGTGTATGTGTGTATGTGTGTGTGTGTGTGTGTGTGTGTGTGTGTGTGTGTGTTTGGTTTTAGTTTTGGCTTTTTGAGATAGGGCCTTGCTATGTAGCTCAGGCTGGCCTCCAAAGCATAGCAATCCTCCTGCCACAGCCTCCCACATGCTGAGATTATAGGCATGAAGCACCTCATCCAGTGTTAAAATATCTTACAGCAATAGTTATCTAAGAAAGGTACTCTAAATGGAGGTGAAAATATAGGTCCTATGAAAATATTTGAATGAAATATTTATACATTTTAATATGAAATAAATTAGAAATGAAAACATTTTTCATTTAGCAGAATTTCTTTTAAGCTCACCAGGAATCTCTGTGCCTTCAAAGAACAAAAAGTGGAGGTGTCAGCAATTTCAAAGTTGTGCAAAACAAAATGTAACTCTGAAGAAAACTCCTATTTTATGAAAACCTAAAAATAATGAGCCCAAATTGAAAAAGAAAAACAAAGCAAAATACATTCTTTAGAAGAATATTTCTGACACAGTATTAGAATAAGCTGCAGCATGGAAGTACTTGACTGTGTGCCAAACGCACTGTTCAATTTAAAATGTTTGTGTAATCAATAAAAACTACCTATCTTGTACTTATTCACATTTGTTATTTTTGTTTTGACAAAGAATTTTAAGTATCATTTTTGAGTGGAAATATTTTATAGACCTACTAATATCATAACACTAATTTGTCAATCAATCTATAAACTCATCCATGTAATTTCAACTATTTTTAGGGTTCCCTAGTCTGTAGGGAAAGAGACCAGCCTGGAGAGTTTAAATTCTGCTCGAGCAGACAGTCTGGAAAGAGCCTGGGTGTCTGCCCCGGCTACCATATGCTTAAGAGAGTGTAGAAAGACTAATTAACAAGCAGCAGGGAGATGTAAAGTTTTAAACTTCAAAAAGTGTATTCGAATAGGAAATTATTTGGTGGGGTGCAGTGGCACATGTCTATAATCCCGTCTGCTCTGAAGGCTGGGGCAGGAGGATCACAAGGTCAAGCCCAGTCTGGGCAACTTAGTAACATAGAGAATCCTGGATCAAAATAAAAAAGACTGGGTTGTAGCTAGTGGTAGATCATTTACTTAGCAAATAGGACACCCTGAGTTCAATCCTCAGAGAAAAGTAAATGAAAGAAAGAAATATCAGAACAGAACAGAAAAGAAATGGGCGAAGTTACTCAACCAGAGAAGCAGGAAAGTAATTAAGACCTAAACTCTCATGTTAACTTGGTTGATCAAATCAGTTCACCTCCTCATGCCTCAGTGTTATCCTCTATAAAGCAGCAATCCTTTTGGGGGTGCAATACTAAAATGATATAGATATGTTTTGCAAAGTACACAGTGTAATACAAAATACAAGGGATTTGCCTTACTTAACTTATATGGGATTTATTCAGAAACACACCCTAAGGCAAAAATGAGGACTCTTAAAATTTGGGTGCAAGGTGGCCATGGAATAAACAATATAATTGCCTCTATTTTTCAGGACTAATAAATTCTTAGTCATACAAATAATATGCTGCATGATATTTTGTCATTTGATATTAATTAGAGTAATAAACAGGTTTGGGTTTCTTTTTTCTTTTGGTTACTAACAAGGAAGGTGAAGAATTGCATGCAAATTGCCTTATTTGGAGTTGAAACAGTTTGATGTGAATTTTCCATTCATACCAACCAATGTGGTGCTCAGTTCACAGATTCTGTAGATTGTTACCTACTTCCTATTTTCCTGTAGGCAATGGGACCCTAAACTGGAGATACAGAGTTAAATAAGGCAATTTCTCTCATCTTTTGGGTCCACAGAGGCTCTTTGCAACCTTCTTAGTTTTTGTCCTAGAGTTTCAAAGAGATGTTGTGTTACTCAGCTTTCTGTTACTGTGACAAGTACCTGAGACAATCAACTTAAAATAAGAAAAGGTTTACTTTGGCTTATAGTTTGGGAGGTTTCAGTCCATGGTTGGCCCATTGCTTTGGGCTTATGGCAGCATATCATGGCAGAAGTGTGTGATGGAGCATAACTACTCATCTATGATTGGGAAGAGAAACAGAGAAAGAGGAAGAGATTGTGACCCCACAATCTCTTCAAGAACATATCCCAGTGACCTAAGATCTCCCTCAGGCCCCACCTCTTGAGGATCCCACCAACCCTGGAGTGCCAAGCTGGAAATCAAGTACTGAACAATGAGTCTTTGAGAAACATGTCAGATTCAAACCACAGCAGGTGGGCTTACGAGATCTGTGACCCCTCCCCAACCCTCCAGCATGCTCCAATGTGCCTCTGGTAGGAGACTTCCCTGATATTGGCACCAACAATCGTGGACACTAAGTTTGGAACCACTCCTCAGAGAAACAACCATCCCAGATCCTTTAGGAAGATCTTGAATCAAGAATCTGCTGTGGAAGTGGATACTCCCTGTTCTCACTGGAAGGACAGACATCTCAAATTAAATGCCCAGGATCAGGAAAGCAGAAGATGACATGGGTATGCTATCATGAGGAAGTGGGTTCGAAGGTATCAGCTTTATCTACATGATGGCTGAAGGAGTTTTTGGTTTTTATTTTTATTTTTTTTAAAGTTTTTTTTTTTTTGTCTTTTTGAGACAGGGTCTCTCTCTGCAGTTCAGGTGGGCCTTGAGCTCACTTTGTAGCCTAAGTTGGTCTCGAACTTGCAGTGATCTTCCTGAGTGCTGGGATTACAGGCATGAGCCACCACACTCGGCTTGAGTTTTTGGTTTTTAAACATCCATCAAATCCCCAAATCAATTGTCAGCCTGAGCACAGCCCATACTTTTTCTCCAGCTACTGAACAGATGGGCTCTCAGTCAAGGTTTCCTGTATGTAAATCCCAGAAGCCCCGCCTGGCTCAAAATTGCAGTAAACAGGAATACCCAACAGACCAAGAACACTAAAATTGAAAGAAAAAAAATTCCCCCCAAAGATCACACAATACCTGCTACAGGTTTCCCACAAGCACAGCTCCAGGGTCCCACTGATTAGGCAAGGAGCAGATGGACCAAAGCCACAGTTCCGATCCGGTGTTTGTTTCCCAAGCAGGTCCGGCTGGCCCAGGCTGGAAAGAGACTGAAGATTCCATTTTTCCATTTTCTAAAGGAAGTAAGGAGTCTCCTGTGCTCCAGCAGCACCAAGAGGCATAGAATTCTAGAGCTGGATGATGCATTGCTCTAGGTTCCAATGTTCCCTTTTTATTTTTTGAATTGTGATAAAATGTATCTGATGCATAATTTGCCACTTTAAACATTTTAAAATGCACAACTCAGTGGCATTAAGGACAGTTACACTATTCTTCAGCCTTGCAGTTTCTATTTCTAGAACTTTTTCACCATCTCAAACTGGATCACTAGTTCCCCAGCCCATTAAACACCAATTCCCTGGTCCCTGTCCGCAGCACTTAGCAGCCACCGTTCAGCTGCTAAAATTCAACCACTCATTTGAGTTTCTCCCTGAGTGGACTCCTGTGGTATCTACCCTCTCCCTGGCTGGTTTCACTCAGCCTGAGGCCCTCAGTTTTCATCCCCGTTGCTGTGTCGAGATCTCCTTTTCTCCGTTTGCTTCTGTCTTTTGTCTGCTGTGGATAACGTTGCTATAAATGGGGTGCACAGTATCTGTGTGGGTCCCTGATTCCGATTCTTCTAGACATACATTCAGAAGTGAAATTACTGGATCGCGTGTAATTAAAGGCTGAACTTTTTGAGAGACTGGCAAACCGTTCCATGCTGGCATTTCACACACACACACACACACACACACACACACACACACACTCACACACACCCAGCAGTGAGCAGGCTTCCTAGGTCTTCACCCCTTCTCCAGTCTCTCACTGTGTTTGTTCATAATAGCATCCTTAGGGCTGCGAAATGGTATCTCCCTGGGGTTTCGATTTGCATTTCTCTAATAATTAGTGATGCTGGACTCTTTTGATGAGCTCACTGTCTGCATATCATTTTCGGAGAAGTGTCTCTTCAGGTACTCTGTCTACTTCTTAATTGGAGTGGCTGTTGGTGTTGAGTCAGTATCTTTTTTCAAATAGCAGAAAAATGGATCATAAAAAAGGATATGTGCAGACAGGTGTGACAATGTGTGCCTTTCATTCTGGTACTCTGGGAAGCTGAGGCAGGAGGATTACAAATTCAAGGTCAGCCTGGACAACTTAGTGACTTAGACTCTGTTTCAAAAATTAAAAGAAAAACAGGCGGGCAGGACTGAGGATGTATCTCACTGTGAAGGCCCTGGGTTAAATCCCCAGGATAGATAGATAGATAGACAGATAGATAGACAGACAGATAGGTTCAGCTGGATTGTGCCAAGCCAGGAACATCAGAGAGTTTTTTTTTTATTTTAAAAAGATTAAGATAAAAGAGGACATAACAAAACAGATCAAAACAGAACAACTTAAGCAACATAGTGTTTTACCGCAAGACAACCTGACATAAGAGTACCTACCATAGTGTCTCTT